GGTACTTGTGGCACTCGTACTTGTGCCCGGCCGGGTCCGTGGTACTTGTGGCACTCGTACTTGTGCCCGGCCGGGTCCGTGGTACTTGTGCCCGGCCGATCGGGCTCGCCCCGCCCCCGGCGGCGGCAGCGCTTAAGGGAGAACGGGGGGCGGGCAGGGGCGCCGCTCCTCCGGAACCGGGGCTGCCCACCTGTCCGTGCCCGCCTGTGTGTGTCCGTCTGTCCGTTCTCATCTGTCCGTGCCCGCCTGTCCGTGCCCGCCTGTGTGTGTCCATCTGTCCGTGCCCGCCTGTGTGTGTCCGTCTGTCCGTACACACCTGTCCGTGCCCGGCTGTCCGTGCCCGGCTGTCCGTGCCCGCCTGTCCGTGTCCGCCTGTGTGTGTCCGCCTGTCTGTGTCTGTCTGTCCGTGTCTGTCCGTGTCTGTCCGTGTCTGTCTGTCTGTGTGTCCGTGTGTCCGTGCCCGTGTGTCCGTGTGTCCGTGCCCGTGTGTCCGTGTCCGTGTGTCCGTGTCCGTGTGTCCGTGTGTCCGTGTGTCCGTGTCCGTGTGTCCGTGCCCGCGGAGCGCAGGGCTGGCTCGGGGAGCCGTGCAGGGTCGCTGCTGTGCGCTGCTCCCTCTGAGGAGTTCCCCGGCCGCGCTCCTTTGAGCTCTGCCGAGCGGCGGAGTCTCCTCGGTGCGGTGTGCCCCGTTCCGATGTAGCTCAGGAACCGAGCAGCTTCAGCGGCACTTTGTAATACGGGCTATTACCGCCTGCTTCCTTCTTTTTCCCCTTTTTTTCTCTCTTTTTTTAAAATTTTCTATTTATTTATTTATTTATTTATTTATTTTTTTAAATTTTTCCTCCCCTGCCTGGGAAAGTTTTGCCATTAGGAATGGCCTTGCAGTAGAGATGGGAGATAAAGTGTAAAGTAACTTGCAGAATTGGTTTCCGAGTTACGGTGCGTCTAAAAACCGCCTTTGTGCTCCAACAAGGGCACTGGGAACTTGAAGGCTTCAGGGCTGGCTAGGTTAAAGCTTTGAAACATGAATTTGTGGGAGCAGAATTGTTTAGAAGACGCTAAGACATTGTTTTGGAAATAAATGTTGATAAATGGAATGTGCTTATGATCTCAAAATGTTCTAGTTTCAGTATTTCTCTTTGACTGTGGCTAGGATGGTTAAATACTGTCATTCTTGGAGTTTTTTGCAAAAACGTTTGTTTAGCATAGCTTAACCACCAGAATTGTTTGTATTGTTTATCTTACTATATGTACACAACCATGATATATTTTATCCATTATTCTGTATGTATTATGCATGCAGAGACTCTAAATTTCCTGTAGTCTATATTAGCATTGTGTAATGCCTGCGGATAATTGTTTTATCCTGTGAGTGGTGAGATTAAAATGTGATGCCATATCATATCACTCAGAAAACTGGAAAATTAGATTTGTACCACAGACTAATATTAGGGAATTTCTGCTTCAAATGCCATTTGAACATGTATGCCTTTTACAGCGTTGTGTATATTTGTTTTTAATATTGCAGATGCTTTTTGACTGCAAGACTTCTGAAATGCTTTGAGGGCTGCGTCTCCTTTCCTAACCATGAACAGTTCAAAATCATCAGGGCTGGCTGGATTTGGAGCCTTGAAAAACACAACGTGCCACACGGAGAAAAAGATTTCAGTTTTCTTTTCAATAATCTTCATGACAGCGGGAATTCTGTCCAACAGTCTCGCAATAGTAATTCTCATGAAGGCATACCAGAGATTCAGACAGAAATCAAAAGCCTCCTTTTTGCTTCTTGCCAGTGGTTTGGTTGTCACAGATCTCTTCGGTCACCTCATCAATGGAGCCATTGCAGTGTTTGTGTATGCATCAGATAAAGACTGGATTCGATTTAACCAGTCCAACATTCTGTGCAGTGTTTTTGGAATCTGCATGGTTTTCTTTGGTTTGTGCCCACTCTTCCTGGGCAGTGTGATGGCTGTTGAACGTTGCATTGGAGTCACTAAGCCAATATTTCACTCTACAAAAATGACTTCTAGACATGTGAAAATGATGTTGACTATGGTATGTCTGTTTGCTGTTCTTATAGCTTTGCTGCCTATTCTTAGGTTTAGAGCCTACCAAATTCAAGCATCGAGGACCTGGTGCTTCTATAAAACAGAACATGTTGAGGACTGGGAAGACAGATTTTATCTCTTACTTTTTTCTTGCCTTGGGTTCCTGGCTCTTGCTATTTCATTCCTGTGCAATGCTGTCACAGGAATTACCCTCTTAAGGGTCAAATTTAAAAGTCAACAAAGACAAGGCAGATCTCATCATTTTGAAATGATCATTCAGCTCTTGGCTATAATGTGTGTTTCTTGCATTTGCTGGAGCCCATTCCTGGTAAGAGCCTAATGTATTTGCCAATGTTTAATGCACATCACTGTATAAAAGTTGTACTTTTTTTGTCTCCAGGTTTTAAAGCACTTAAGTTGTGATAGCAGCTCCACCCACTCAGTGATATTAATTTTATAGCATATTGCCCATAATGTATATACCTATACATCTATAAAACACTGGTAGTTATTCTCTACTTCTGATGAATAATACACTAAGTTAAATATAGTGTTTGTGAGGACTGTATTTCCAGTGCTGTGAAGCAGACAGTGGTAGAAGAACCGTGGCTAGAATAATTCAGAGCAAATATTGAGCTCTTCCAAAAATTCAGTGAAATCTAGGCCGAGGAAGTGCTTTTGCTCTGTACAGTGTAAATAATTTTTTATTTATGGTGTTCTGTTTGCTGTTATTTCAACAGTTTGCTGCTACTTGTGAGCTTTGTTAGGGCAGATAACTGTTGGGAAGCAAAAAATCCTCCCCATCTCTATCAGGGTGTTAAGGGCTTTGCTTTAGGATGATATTGAAAAACAGTGGTTGGCAGTGGGTTGAAATCAACATTAGTTTAGACCTAAGCAAGCTGGGTTTGTAACGTGGAGAGATGAGCAGCAGAGCTGCTGTGGGCAGGTGGTGTGGCACTGTCCTGCTGTGGCTCCCAGAGGGTCAGTGCTGCTCTGTCAGTGAGCAGGGTCAAAGGAAGTGAGATTGTGACACCGGAATTTGACAGCTCCTGTTGTATCATGGCATTATAAAGTTGGTGTTAACTTTGTCTCCTTTTAGTGTAGCAAACTTGTCTGAGGAAATTTAGATTTTTCTAGGCTCAGAGTCACAAATCACAAGTCATATGGAATCTTAATTTCTCTCCTAGAAACAGGATCCCATAGTTTTCCAGTGATATAAATGAGGAGCAATTTTGGTCTGGGATAACAAATACTGACTTTTAAATCTGAGATCTGTATCAGATGCAGCTATATTTCATCTGCTCACTGCCTATGGTAGAGTCTGAAGTTACCTGAGTTAGTTAAAAATGAGATACTGACACTAGCCTAGTTGCAGCAGTTTGATTTATCTGGCAGGTAGCATTTAATTAATCCAGTATCACAGGCTTCAAGGTGAAAGTCTAGGTATGAATGTCTGCAATCACTGAAATGCACAAAACCTCTTTCACTTTTGTTCAAATCACAGAGAATTTTTCTAGTCTTGCTCTGCAGCATAGTTTAAATTCATGTTGGCTTCTGTCAGTGCCGTGGCTGTAGTGCGTGGAGTGTAAGCAAAGTTGTCAGAGCAGCAGAGCAAGTTTTGTAGGGAACTTCTTTACAGTTCCTTCAGACCTCATCTGAAGTTTGGGGCAAACCACAGAATGGTTTTCAAAAAAAGCATTTCATATGATGACTTTACTTTCCATGGAAAAGCAGCATTATTATCCTGTGGTAATATTTATTTTCATTTAAAATAATTGTTCTTAAAAGCAGGGATTAATTTAGTTTTGAAAACCACTTGGGTGTTAGAAGAGCTATCAACTTTCTTCATTCAAAAGAGATACTTCATTTATTCAACACATCAAGGAGCACTAAACTGCAATTACTATGGTTGATTTTGTTATGCCGTTCAATTTTAATTACGATATATATCAAATATATATAAAATTATAATTTTAGAATTTGTGGCAATCTAATGAAATCACAGCACTACTTTTGTTAAAATATTTAACTTCATCTAAATTGTCATTGAAGATGGATGATTGGTCTAGCAGGATTTTTTTCCAGACCTTTTTGGTGTTGGTGATTGCATCAGTTTATGATGCAGGCTACAGAATGACTTCTTGCTTAATTTTGGGGTTGTTTTTTTTCAGGACTGTGTTGCAGAGGAGAAATCCAGAAGGAATTCTGGTTCATTGGGTGTCAAAACTGCTGGTGCTTTCTGTGTGTGCTGGGCTTTTGGTGCTTTGCTTCTCAACCTCTTTGGAAATGAGATGAGCCAAACTTAGGTCATAACCAGCCTGGCATTATAGAAAATAGTTCTGCAATGTGGAAAAATTTAGGTTAGAAAGGAAGAGTTAAAAAAAATAAAAAATAAAATTAGGTATAGTGTGGGATTAGATTCTTGAAACAAAGTATCAAGCAAGTGGACAAGGAGTGTTTTAGCCAGAGAGTTTCAGTGGGAAATGCAATGGGACAAGTTCCTTTGTGGGTATTTCCTTTCTTACCTGTTAGGATCATAGAGTTTATATCAGTTAATTTGCTGATTTATTTACCCATTCCTGGGTTTGGTAGCAGCAGAATACAATCAGAATTACAAGTGTGGTGTTAATTTAGCAAGATTTTTTGGCCTGCAGTTGAATAAAGTTTTGTCAGGAATGTACTGCTCAAGTGCTACATTAAAGTGATCCAGGGTTTATCAAGTTGTATGCTTTATGATTAATTGCTGACTCAAACCTACTTGTCTGATACATCTGAAAGGTCTCAGGGCTTTTAATTTGTGAAAAGAATGGTTTACATTCTGTAATATAATCAGCATATACCAAAATAAGTATTTCTTGACAGAAATATGAGCAGGTGTTCATTGGTGAAATTATCTGGAAAAGGATGTTAATACATGCTTGTTCTGTGATCATTTACTTCTTTAATTTTTCTTCTCCAAGCTAAATCTAAAAGTCAGAATTTGAAGTCTAGTCTTTGAATTGTGTATTCTACCTATGTACTCTGTCCCAAAGAGTATACAGAACAAAATGTTTCATGAGAGTCAATTGCCTCAAAGTAAACCAAAGTTATTAGAAACCAAATAAACTTCTGGAAGAGAAAGTGGAGGAAGGCAATGCACTTTATACCACATGTGGTTTGCAGATACAAGAGTTTGGATTCATTTGGTGTTATTCCCTATCTGATGGTGGGGGTGTGTGTGTTTAATTTATTTATTTCCCTTCTGTTTTCAATCTAGTCTGGTATGTCCATTGACATATGTGTATGGCTAACAAGTCTGTCCAATACTGTAATCCAACTGCAGATTTACTTCACTATTAGATTTTAAATTATTTTTTTTTCCAAGTGGAGTTAATATTCAGGCATTGTCACTGTCCTGTGATAAAATAATTTTCAGATGTCATTAGAGTCACAAGACCCTGGGTTGTTCTTTATGGTGTCTGGTGTGGAACTGAACTTGACTTCTGCATCTGCTCAGTGATAGTGAAGTTGTTTTGATGCCTATTTATGTATGTGTGTAAATGCATATATAGCTAACACTTAATATTATAAATAAGAATATATAGTATTGTAATTAATCACCTCCTTAAGATTCCTGAAGATATGGATGGAGCATTTTTCAAAAGCAGAGCCCATGGCATGGCTCTTGTGGAGCTCTCCTGTGGCTCTTGGACAGGGACTTCTTTATGATTTCCTTTTTCTTCCTTTAGATTTCTTTCCCAGAGCTGCATCTCATCTGTTTTTCAAAAATAAGCAGCTTTGTCAAGTTTTCTGCCACTGTGAGAAAATCTTCCCATAATGAAGTATGAGATTGAGAGGTGATCCCTGCTTCTTCCCCTATGGACGAACACTGATGCCCTTTGAGGAGCTGAGAGCAGGAGAAAATTCCCCAAAACACCAAACAAGTGAAATTTATAATAATATATGTAGTCAGTGATTTGCAGAGGCACATTTGTTCTGACAGTCCAAATCATTTTGCTTTGTGATGGGTAATTCCAGGTAAATATGTTCTGAAGATAGTAACTCCAACTTCTGTGTGTAGTGTCAGCTTTCCTCACCCTTGTGAGAGCCTTAGCCCTTTGCTAACGCTAGGCCAATTTTTCTGGATGAATTTGGTCCCTAGGGATTGGATTCCAAATGGTTCCAAATAGTTGGGCAGGAGCATTTTGTGACAAGCGTTTCTGATGAAATACATTGTTACATAAAGCTGTTTTTTGGCTGTGATTTGACATCTGGCGTGTCATGAAACAGCTTGGTTTGGAGCTGTGTTTGTATGAGCAAATTCTGACATTGGTATGTCGTACTCTGTAGGGCTCAAGGGATAAACTTATTATAAAATTTGTTGTTTTGGAGCAGCGAAGAGAACTGCCTGTAACTATGGACAGGAGAGATTTATTTCAGAGTGAATTTATTTACAGGACCAAATTATGATATGGAGAAATTTCTAATCTTTTTCATGTGTGAAACACAGTCTGAGAAAAATACTTCTACATTCAAATTATTCCTGTTAAGATCTTTTTCCATGCAGTTGACTGATTAATTTCATTCCAGTTTTACCTCCCCTCTACTGCAGAAAATAGCTGTGTGTTTTTTTTGGAAAAAGCTCAGTTTATTTCATATGAATAAATCAGCTGTCATTCAGTTGCTTTTTTAACTGCCTAGATTAATTTTTATCAGTCCCTTCTCATGTAATCTCTTCTCGTTCCAATTTGTTATGCTAATCATGTCTGCCTGAACTCGCTCTGACTTTTTCTTGTCCTCAGACTGTCTCATGCGGTGAGGCTTGATGACTGCTTTTCGTGCACTTATGGCTGTGTTCAGCTTGTGATTTACTGAATCACTTCAACTCAGAAGCTGCTGCTGCTGCTCTGAGTGGTCCTTTCAGAGAATGTGTTCTGGAGCTGGAGAGAAGCTGATGTGCTAACAGGGAGGCTTTTGTTGGAATGCCCTTACCCCATCCCACCCTGCTGGCTCCACTGCTGCATTGGCTGCAGAGGCTGGTTGGTTGGTGTGTGCTGAAGGAGGTCAGTTTGCTGCAGGTTTTACACTAAGTGACTTCAGGGCCACGTCCTTGTGCACAGTATGAGGTAGTTGGATGTACAAGGCAATTCAATACACCTCATTTGAGTGTTTTTGCATGTGTAGCCACGTGACACTTTGTCAGGTGTTCGTACCTGTGTTGCTCTTGAAGTCTCTCCCCCCATTCTTGTTTTCTGCCTTCTTTATTAAGGTGGAAGTTTTACATTTCTGTTACACTGCCTTATGCTTACATGGGCATGCTTATGCAATGGGCATCATATATATGAGCTT